TGGTCGAGCCGCATTAACTGAATGAACAAATTAATTATGATCTTATCAGTGTTACAGTATACATTGCATACCTATTGGCAATATTGGTCTATTTTTCACAATTTGTTTTTTTTTCTTTATTAAATTAATACCTATCCATTTGTTACAGATTGCGTGTGATAACTGTCATAAGATGTATTATAATTTAATAAATTAATAAAAAAGAAAATCCCTTATCAAAGTTTAACAACAAGTTATAGCTGACAATGGCCGCTTATAATTATTAATCAACTCGATAATCACTACATTTTTTTTTTCATAAAACATATTTTCCATCATAGGTGCATTGCGGTTTAACGTTCATATTACAAAAACCTTTAAAAACTAATGCTTAAGAAGCACTTACCTTGTATTCGGAAGTCTACAATTGTTTTGTTATTAATTAAAATTTTAATCCAATTGACGTCATAGGATGATAACCGGGTGTTAAGTATTTTATTTGTAGTGGAAAGCCCAAATAACGTAATCAGGCCACTGTCATTTTGAAAAAAAATGTCGCCATGGTGAACCTTAAAATGAGTATGAATATATTATCCCTAGAATGTAGCAAAATATATGGATGTCTTATTAAAATTAGATACGAACTTTAGTCAAAGTTTAAAAAAGATCACATCTCAATTTTTTACGTAATTGGTATGATACCAGAATGAAGTATGATGATTTTCGTACCATGGTCACAAAGTTGTACTTATTTTGGGCCTGCTAGTCACTACGCACCCGAGGACAGAAGAGTACCTTAGCCTTGGAGGTCATGACACACTTTGCTCCCGTAGTAAAAAAATTTTTATTCATTTATTTGTTAATTTTAGATTTAGGAATAAGGTAAATTCAGGTGTATCGGGACACTTTTGATGGTTTGAAATTATCATTCTTGGTTTTTCAAAAACTATATCACAATAGTACGTAAAATCGTTTTCAACCGTTAGCGCACATTTTTTTCTATCAATTAAAAAAAAATTATTAATTTGTTCTTTTATAGATGTTAAAAAATTAAGTTTTTAAACTTATGTCTAATTTAGCTGTAACGGGACACACTTAATTTGTATCTAAGTAATTCGGGACAACGATTGAGCTAATTCTGGACAAACGCCCAATTTCCAATATAATTACATGTAATCCAGTCCATATTGCTATTACAGTGATTATTCCTAGATAAATTAACTATTTACAGACAAAACAATAAGAATTAGAGCTTATTTTAGCCTACAAACTGATAAAAGTTATTTGAAATGGAAAGAGTGCATCCTCATTAACGTTATGTATTGTCACGTTCTGAACCGAAATTTTAGACATACGTAGTCGAAAAATGTGAGATTCAATTTTTTAAATAGTTTCTATGTTACAAATCCATATTTTCTTTGCCACCGCATGGACGACAATCACGCACGAAAAATTTGAAGTTATGATTGAAATTCTTCGTATTATACATAAATTGGATTGACAATTCTACCAAACTTTAATGTTTGTGATATCTCTAACTCAAGTAACATTAGAAAGGACGAAAAAAAGTTCATATTAGTGAAATTGTTCGGAAAAAAGTACGTACTCAATTCTGTCTCATTAAAGCTAAAGTGATTTAACTTTTATGGTAAAGTGGGACACTTATGATTTGATCACCACATAAGAATAATTAATTTTTGTTGATTTATTACTTCACCTCATACATTTTTTTGTTGTTTTTCTTATAAAGAGTCTAGTAGAATAAAGAGAAATTCTTCGTTACAAATAATAATTTGTTTAACACTGTCTTCGACGCTGTCCCAAGTTACCTTAAACATTTTTCGTGTCCCAAATTACCTGAATTTACCTTAGTACTAGATGACTGGAGTAAAACTGCTACAAAAATTTTCTTTAAATAATGTTTCGATCTAAGACTTTAATTTTCAAAAATTCTGAACAAATTTTGATAACCAGACGTTAATTACAGCAACAATGTCAAGTACAAAGGACTATTCTCTTAAAGGATGCAATTTTTTTTTTTGAAGTCGCTTATTGAGTTTTCAACAAAATGTCAAGTGAACTACGTAAATAATGATAAATGTTTTTTAATTTTCAAAAATACTTTTTTATCAAGAGTTATAAAAATTCTCTGAGAGTGTACTAAATACAAATATGAAGATTACTACTCCTTCAAGGAGGTAAAATATAAAGATTCACAAATCACCATAATTTGGTGCCAATAATCTTATCTTAGGCTCCCTTTGTAATAAGGACACTGTGATCTCAAGTGTATTTAGCATAAAATGCACGAATTGCTTGGGCCACCTTAAAAAAAATATCCAACGGGATTTTAATGTGGCAGCTATTAAAAACAAGGGATGGTTACCTTTTCACTTCAAAAATTAAGACGAGCATTTTCAAACTTAAACCTACACATTAATCTTTCTTATTAAGGCATTACGATTCATGCATTTAATTTTTACCGTTTTGTTTTCAAATTCAGCAAGTAAAAATATAGATCCACGTGATAAACTACTACTTTGAAAAGTTTTGTTATATTTTCGATCACAAACACTATTTTCTGTTACTTGAACGTCATAAGCTTTTACTCTAGGACCACCAGAAAATTGACGTTGGAACCCCATTAGAGTTATATTCCCATTGCTGTTAACAGTTTCATCAAATTTAAGCAGATTAACTATCTGTACATATTCATTGATGACTACCTCCTCTTCCAATAGCAAGACAGCTATGTCGTGTTCGTTACGACTAAAACGTTATTGCTTTGAAATAAATTGTCGTATAATAACAGTCACATTCTTTTTAACACAAATGACTTACTCAAACACGTAATTTGGGTGAATAAAAGTATATAAAACACGGATTTTCTGAGCATCTTCTTCGTCATTCTAAGAAATTCCTCCAGCTATAATATTCTGTAGGGTTGAATTAAAGCGAAATAAGCAATGAGCACTTGTCACAACAAATATTTCTTTAACAAGTGCTCCAGAACACCAAAATCTTGATCCACTGGCAGTAAAAACTTCGATAAGTACGAAGTGTGGAAATCGATTTTGAAAGAACACTTCTTGGGGTTTTTTTTATCAGCTATTTATTGATTATTACGTTTAATAATTTTTTCAATTAAGTGTTATTATGTTTTTTGTTGTCTAATTTTCATAATCGGACAACAAAAGATAATAAATACTTATCATAGAAATAATGGTTGACAAGATCATGATTAATTCAAAACTTACTTTTTTCTGATTTGATTCCAGTTGCATAGTAGTTCAAGAATCTTTGATCCAATCAAGAAAATAGAAAATATTGGTAGCAAAACGATTATCTTTATTAATAAGTCCAGCTAGCACAGTTTTAGTACCATCGCTTTGGAGTACACTATCCCATTGGTAAGGCCGGGCATCCTGAAAAATATTTCACGTAAGTTTTTAACTTATATTACGCAAAATAGAAGGACTAACAATATTTATTGAGCCACCCACATAGGTAAGACAAAATAGACGTCCGTATGGATACCACCATTCACGTGTCATAACTTCGACTTGACGAAATGCTAATCCTTCGCGATTGATGTCAGCAATGTATCGAAGACCAACCAACGTTAGAGTCCAACTAGTATTGTAGATTTGGTTAAAATCGGGAAGATTAACTATACTAACAAATTGAGTGGGTTTAATTCTTTGTTTTAATTGTATGATAATAATGTCATTTTCACCAGTACTGAAACAGTTTTATTATTTTAAATTAATATTTAAATTTATTATAATTACGCCCCTGACTAACAATAAACTTTTTACTTTTTATCATAACTAGGATGAATAAGGTAAGTTGTAACGAAAAACACCTGGGCGTTTTTCTGATCGAGTGAAGTACTACCAGCAAATTTTTCGTAGGCCATTCGATTGGTGATAATTTACGTTTCCATCATAGTAGTATAAACAATGAGCTGCTGCAATGGCAAATGAGTCCGCAACAAGTACACCGTCACAGGAAAATTCATAGTTACTGCCCGTATACACGTAGATAAATACGTGAAAAGGAAACTGTCCAAATGAAGCTGACTCTTGAGCTCTAGCGACTTAATAAAAAGACAGTATTGTTGGTGAGCTCATGCTGTAAAGCATTGGAATAAAAGTCAATTGTTAAAAAAAAAAAAAAAACAGTATTTTAATGTAGTTTATTGCAATACATTTTTCTTTCTACAGAAAGAAATGTAGATAAAAGTATTTAATTACAAAAAAAAAAAAAATAAAGACACAAACCTTTAATTATTAGAAGAGCAGCTATAATTTTCACAAAATTCATGTTTTCATACAAAGAAAGCTCCTATCCCTAAAACTGAAATAGGGGTAAGTGTACCTATCTCCGTGCCCTGCCCTATTACCGTGGATTTTGAAAAACTGATGATTACTTGCTCAAAATAAGAAATGTTTCACATAAAATAATTTTTCAATTTTAATAATCTAAAATGACGTTAATGTAGATGCAATTCAAACAGAAATATTTGTGTATATTTTGAGTAAATAATTATTTTCCACGGTATTCGGTACAACGCGCTCATTAACTGATTGTGTACGTATTTCCGCGGTGAGCGTACGTAAACATAACCCTATACATCCGCGGTAATACGTACACGGTAATAGGTACACAACCACGGTAATACCAGCATACCGTTTTTATTCGTTTTAAAAATATTCTACTGCAGTTTTAGCTTCATAAAATTTTTTTAAATATTCCGTAAGAGATTATGTAAGATTAAAAAAAAAAAATATTCCAAAAAATTTTAGTATACCATTTTTTATGGTGCATTTAAGTTGGAATTTTCAGTACGTGCCACGGAGATAGGTACACTTACCCCTACAACGTAAAATGTAGAATGAGATTTTCTAAAATTTCCGATAGTAGTTTATGAGAAACAGAAGATACGATTTTTGAATAATTATCACATATACAGATATTGTACTAAAATTGTAATAATTATTTAACGCATAAGCGTGAAAATGTCTAGGAATAAGTACCACACCACATATGTCACCAAATATTTGAACGTCAGAAATTTATTTGTACATCAACTTTTTCACAATTGATGTAAGATATATACCAATATATATTACTATCGAAATTTATGTACCAAAAAAGGCAAGTAAATATTTTCTGAACCGTTTATTAAATGTTAAACAGAAGTTTCAAGTAGCTGTATGAAATGTGTACTGTTCGTTCCCAAATCAATGACTAGGAAGAACAAAGGAAAAAAATTTCGTAAAACTACTAATTAGTTTATAATAGTACATTAATAACTTTATTTTAATTGATTTGCTTTAGATATCATTAAGTTGATCTAACAAAGACAACGAACTCTATTTCTTAAAATTTATTCGGTGTATATTAATCAAAGCTAATAAATTACACCTTGCCACTATTCCGTATTGTATACATACGTGTGTCAAAGAACTTGATCGTTTGTGTCATAAAGTTTCTTGATCAAAACAGCATAATTTATATCTTGCTAAGCATATAAAAAGTTAAAAACTGCACTAGAATAATATTAATTATGTCAATAATATTCATCATCTGCAATCATAATAATATTTATTATCTTTAATGAGTCTTGAGATTTTTAATGTTTTTCAATACCACTATATCCTCCATACATGGAAAAGTGATGGCGATTTTTCGAAAGCACAGATCAGATCAGATGGTGCGAGGAAGGAAAGATCCAGATTCTAAATTAATACATAGGGGTAAAGGGTACAGTTGTTGACCCCCCGACAGTGATTGACCGCCACATGAATTTTTAAATGGAGCCTTTATATATAGATATACAAATCATACAGGGGTCAATTACTACCTTAAGGTGTCAATAACTGTACCGTTTACCCCTACACACAAACATGAAATATCTGAAAGCTCTGATTGACTCGAATCTTTTTTCTCTAGCACCATCTTATTGGTTTAATTTTTCACAGTCACTATATTTTAATTGACGCTGTAATAGTAAGTAGTGCAGGTCGAATAAGCTTTCGATGCGTATAACATTACTTGTAGAGAATATTGCGCTCGTGAAGGGATATGCATTTTAATCTACCGTGTATTTTTCTAAACTCTCAATGTATATAATTTTGTTACTGTCTTATTCTACTAATTGTGACTGCAACTTTTGCAACTTAGTCTGACTGTATACAAATCAATCGTTCTTACTGTAGTAATACGGATTCCACTCGGTTTTACTTATGTACATTGAATTTCATTGTACACTTTCAATTACGTGCGTTGATTTACTTTTCATCATTTTAACCACGTCATCTTGGCTTTATCTGATTACATTACGAATAACAGGGCTTCATTCGAAGTTATTCTTCTTTAAGAGGTATTGATAAATATGTGTTAAAATAGAAAGAATTTTTTTTGGAATTTCAATTAAACTTAATTGACAAATTGACTTTATTAAATTATTATTATTCAAATTCCTCTTGAAAATCTTTACACAAAAAAAAAAAGAATCCAAATAAGCATTTTTTACTATTTTTGAATAGTAATTGTTAATCTTGAAAATTATCCATCTTTCTTTCCATATTTATTTTTACCGCTTCTCTATTCGATTTGTTGGAAATCGTAAAAGTAAGAGTAAAAAGATGCGTTCAAAACCAATGTTATCTCCTCTCGAAAAATATTCTATGTTAAATGTAAATAAAGTGTGATAATATTTAGAATACAGTTTACAAAAATCATATCTATAACAGAAGTTTCGCCTCGTGCCCCTCCTCTCATTTCTTTAAGAGCGAGTTGGCTCCTAATCTCCGATGTATATTCTGTTTTTCCATCTCTCCCTTCTCACTATCCTCACAATACATAGGCGTCTAAGAGTCTATACAAGGGGAGGTAAGTTTTAAATTGGTAGGTGGAACCGTCCGGTGAATTTAATAGTGTTCTGGGTTCTACCCGTTCGTCTACAAAGATTTTACTCTCCTTGTTCCACCTAAAAAAAGTAAATAAATAAAAAAATTGAAGAAAAAAAAAAACATGAAAACAGAAAATCGATTAATTAGTATGTTTACAAAATGAAGTACTGAAAACAAGTAATAATTATTACTACAATTATTGTCATTTACTACTGTATGATAGTAAAAGTAAGGAGATTTAAAAATTTCATTTTTAATTAATACACAAATGAATACAATGACCAAAAGAAGTCTTGTATTTTATAATTTTTAGGCTGGAAAAATAGACTATTAATATTGTATATAATTTTCTCACTTCTCTTAAATCTTCTCTAAAATTTAAAAAAGGATCAAGGTAGGAAGGATAATAACAAAACTTATATAGACTTTTTTCAATGAATAGATATGTTTGTATTCGATAATAAAGTTGACTGTTTTTTAAAACAGGAAATACATTTTTTTTTTGTCAGTTTTTGTCAAATATTTAAGGTAAAATCAAGAAAAAACCTTAGTATGCAATAGAGCATATCTTTCTCGAAAATTACATTTATTCGAGTCAAATTTTCATACTTTTATGTCACAGTCAAAGGTATTGTTATTAGAGAATTAAAATAATTATAAGTAACACTTGTGAATCATTTATAAAAAATTAGCTTAATGATATAATTGAGTGAGAAAGAGTACTACAGTAAAACGAAATTTATTGAGTATTTCTATTTTCCAATATTTACACAAACATTGGTATCGATAATTTAAAACGAATCTTTAAAAAATTTTAGTCGCCGCAAACTTTAAATTAAATAGCTGATTTTTTCGAGTGTCTGATGTACCACATTTATCACCAAATAGTACTCAACGTTAAGAAGATATATATGTCAATATATTTATACTGCCATAAACACCATACTACCATAATATTTACGTATCAAAAAAAGAAAGCAAACGAAAAACCAGTAGCGTTTAGGTACTAGATGCCAATAAACATTTTGATAGCTGTAAAATTGTGATGTATACTGCTCGTTTCTAAACTAATCAGTTGAAGAACGAAGAAAAAAATTCTCCTAACGTACCACTTAGCTTATAACTGTATGTTAATGACGTTGTTTTAATTCTCACTGTTACGTACATCCCAAAAAACTTGTTTCGTCGTGTGATTAAATTTTATCATCAAAACAGCACTTTCTCGCCATTGATACATCAGTAGACTGTTGGAAAATGCGTGCTTATGTTGTACTCAAAAAAAACTTTTAAAAATGGGTATACGTGGCCATAAATAGAAAAAAAGTGCATAGAACGTAATATCTTCCCGAGATATCTGAATTGAAGTTTTATACAAATAAAAAAAAAAAAAATTTTTATGACTTATATCAGTTGAAATATCAATGATTTCTATCGATATTCTAAAACAAATGTATCTTAAACAAACGTAAAAATCTCATAACATTCATACCTGATAACTAAAATACCTGAAAAGTCTTCGTTCTACATCTTTATAAAAACAAAGGAGCAACAAATGAGACAAAAATAATAGTATTTTGCTACTGGTTATATTAATTTTAAAAATCTCTACTCAACCAAGTGGATGACATTATAAACACTTTTTATTATTATTACATGTAAAGAGTGTTAATCCTAAAAATAACTCGTCTTTTCATTCCCATATTTGTTTTTACCACTTCTTTACTATAGTATAGAAAACCTATACTATTGTAAACCTTTAGGTAAGAAAACTTTTTGTTGGCGATTGAGTAGAAAAACCTTTAATAACCAATGCCATTCCCCCTAAAAAAAAATACAAATTTTCTTCATTGAATAAAAGTTTATTGCTGTAATTTTAGAAATAAAATGTATAAGATTAACCAATTAAAATTAGGTTAATCATACCATTTACGAAATGCAATAATCTAATGTCTTAAGCAAAAGCTTTTTAGTTACTGGATGAATAAAAATGACAAGCTGAAATAGTCTTTTCTGTCTTTATCATTGTACTAGACAGATAGAATATTAATATGCTTCATGTATGAAATTTTGTTCCTGTGTTGGCACAAATGTAGCGCACGAAGGTGCAAACTTAGCAAAAAAATGATGTTTTGTACTCAAGCACCAATGTACCAATACAACTTAACTTTGGTATCTGTTAAAGGCTTGTATGGTTATTTTCTTTTTTGTTTTTAACTGATTTCCAATAGCAATATTACTATTGTCACGTACAGTATCGAACATACTACGTGGGATGGGCCTCAGCTATTAGTATTAGGAAGGAGCACAAGTGGGGGAAGAAAGAGCATAAAAAGGCCCATAGCAGTGACCACAGGGCTCTTGAACGTCGGGACTAGAAGGAGGATAGTCGCAATAAGTTACTCGGGACCGCAAAGCGCCTTCCCTCGAGGAATATAGCAATAAAGTGATTGATTGACTTTAACTGCCGCGTTGTTATTAAGCACCCCGAACCTATAGAATCCCACGTAACACTATTGAGTAATATAAAAAAAAAATTACTCTTTAAATTGGAATATTTTACAATAAAATCTTTTTTGGCTCTAATTGCAAACAAAAGCAAGTTCAATCGTGAGATACTACAACTTCTACAAATGAAAACCCACACAATAAATGATAAAAAGAAAAAAATTTTATTTCATAAACGATCAATAGAAGAGCTAAGTGTGGCTCTAGTGAAACTATACCTTAAAAAAAAAATGCTCCATAAAATTATCAAACACAAATTTTTAAAGGAATTGTTTGTTTACAGTTCTAATAATTATTTTCAGTTTTACCTTTAAGAGCTGTTACAAACTTCATTGCTCGTATTTGAGTTTATAAAAATTTAATAAAAATTTTACCAGAGCCTTATATTTGATGTTATTTTTGATGCACATAAATAATAAATTGAACTCGAACCTTTTGGCCATCCTTTCTTTTTATTTTTATCACCTCTGCACTTTTTTCTTCGTCCACTTAGTCTTCGGCAGCGGCTTCCCTATCCTCGTCTTGCTCGATATCTAACATTCCTCTGCGGGTCAATCAAGCCTTACTTGTGCAGTTCTTATCACTCTTTCTTAAGAGTTAATGTTGATATTCACATACTACTTTATTCTCTTTATTCGCTATGATATGTTTGTTTTGAACGAAACCAATTTTTGAGAGCAGGGAGTACGCTTGACGGAGAATGCCTCGTGTGTTTGTTTGTGTGTGTGTGTGTGTGTATCGTAAGAAAAAGTATATCTATTAAGTGCAGAACCGAATCGTACCGAAGGGAAATTTGAACTAACTTATTATAGGATCAACACCGATAGCAATCAAATCAATTGTTCAACTATGTTAACTGTCCGTTAATTTAATACTGTAAGTTGGTTGGATATCTTTACTATAAACATCATAACTTCAAGCTACTTTAATATCATATCCTATAAATATGTTAACAAAAGTATAAAAATAAGAAATGTTGCTATTGATGTTACGAAAACGATCTAAGCAATTGATAAAAAAACTTTTTAAGCCCTCATACCTTTAAGCTTTCCTCATCCACACTGTCAATCAGTGCACGTTGCAATTTTAATTTTTCCCATTTTTGTACTTAATAGAAGTAAAATAAAGTTTTCTTTGTCTTTCACCGTCATTTTAAATAAATAACCTTCACTACTGTATTTTTACGGACTTACATAAATTAAAAACTCAGAGAATGCTAGCAGGACATTGACAAGAGCATTCTAAAANAAAAAAAATTTTTTTTTTTTATAAATCAAAGGTCATTGAAAACAGTGGATATGGTGCAGATAAATTTACGATGGTGCGTAACAATGATGGCACAGGTTCACTTAAAATAGTTCAACAGTTAGATTACGAGGATCAATTGCAGAGTAATGGTTTCAGATTTAGAATACAAGTAAATGATAAGGTAAGCTAAAATTGTTTTAAAAAATTATGTAAAAATATAATTACCAGCAAGACTTGAAATGTATTGTGTCGATAGGGTGAAGACAACGACAACGACAAATATCACGTAGCTTATTCGTGGGTTGTCGTTAAACTTCGAGACATAAACGATAACAAACCACAATTTGAAAAAGCTAATATTGAAACATCAGTGCCAGAAAATGCTGCTGTAGGAAATTCTTTGGAAACTTTCAAGGCTACGGATCCTGATCAAGGAGGAAAAAGTAAAGTATCTTATTCCATCGATAGAAGTTCAGATAGAAAACGACAGTTTTATATTTTTGAAAACGGAACGGTTTCCATTCAAAGAAGTCTCGACCGTGAAGAAACACCGAGACATCAAGTAAGTAGTTATAATATACGTTAGATAAGTACGTATTGGCTCACTTGTGTATTACATCATGACTATTTTTTTAGGTAAAAATTTTAGCAGTTGATGACGGTATACCGCCCAAAACCGCGACTGCTACTTTGACAGTGATTGTTCAAGATATTAACGATAATGCTCCAACTTTCTTGAAAGACTACAGACCAGTTTTAAACGAATTTTTACCAGCAAGAAAAGTAGTTGAAATATTGGCCACTGACGATGATGATCGTTCAAAAAGTAATGGACCACCGTTTACATTCAGAATGGATCCAAAAGCAGACGATGTTATTAAAGTTAGCTTTAAAGTTGAAAGTGATAACAGTAAGTTTAATTTCACTGTTTTAACGGTATGGCTTTTTTGACATAATAATAATGACATCATCAACATTACAGAGGGTGCAAACGGGGATGGCATGGCTGTTGTCTCATCTTTGCGTACCTTCGATAGAGAACAACAAAAAGAGTATCACATACCAATTGTCATAAAAGATGCTGGTCACCCATCTATGGCTGGTACAAGTACGTTAACAGTGATCATAGGAGATACTAATGACAATAAAATGCAACCCGGATCCAAAGAAATATTTGTTTACAACTATGCAGTACGTTTACCTTATAACATTTCATGTATAAACTATGCTGCAAACACATTTATTACAACTAATATTATATCTAGGGACAATCGCCAGAAACAGATATTGGGAGGGTGTATGTTTACGATTTGGATGACTGGGATTTGCCTGATAAAAAATTCTATTGGGATGGCCTTGAGCATGATCAGTTTAAATTAAATGAAGACACCGGCATGATTTCTATGAAACCGGGGACACATGATGGAAAATATCATTTGAAATTCAAAGTGTACGATAGAACGCATACTCAAACGGATGTACCGGCAAACGTAACAGTGACAGTCAAAACTATTCCTCATGAAGCAGTCTATAATTCAGGTTCAATACGGGTATCGGGAATCACTGATGAAGATTTTATTCGGGTGTGGAATTATAAGGTAAAATAATTGTGACATCATTTCCAAGTGTAAGTATCGTTTGATTGGCTAATAATAAAAATGATATTATTTCAGACTCAAAGCATATCAAGAAGCAAAGCTGATCTCTTAAGAGATAAATTAGCTATACTTCTAAATGTTGAACGAGAAAATGTTGACGTATTTAGTGTCCAATCACGAAGAAAATATCCTCCTTTGACAGATATTAGATTTGCTGCTCATGGATCACCGTATTACAAACCTGTCCGACTAAATGGAATCGTTTTAATGAACCGAGAAGAGGTATAAAAAGTTAATTTTTTTTTTTTCAATTACATTAAGACAATTCGATTACTTTTAAACAATGACAATTTCACCTTGATTTTTTTTGCACGTAGATTGAGAAAGATGTTGGAATTAATATTACAATGGTTGGAATTGATGAATGTTTTTATGAAAATGAAGTATGCGAGGGAAGCTGTACTAATACTTTAGACATTAGCAATACGCCTTACATGGTAAACGCAAATAGAACAGCTCTTGTCGGTGTTCGAGTTGATGTTATAGCAGAATGTACTTGCGGAGCTCGTAATTTCAGTAAAAGTGAATCTTGTCGAACGAGTCCATGCTATAACGGTGGTCGCTGTGTGGAAGGACGATACGGTTTAAGGTAAACAGCGTTCACCATCGAGTATTTGCCCATAATTGAATAATTATTTAACCTTATACTACAATGATTATTATTTAATGTTACAGCTGTGTATGTCCAGTTGGATATAGTGGCCCAAGATGTCAACAAACAACAAGAACTTTTAAAGGCAACGGATGGGCTTGGTATCCAGCTCTAGAAATGTGCGATAGCAGTCATCTTAGCTTTGAATTTGTAACAAGAAAAGGGGATGGATTGCTTTTGTACAATGGTCCTATCGTACCTCCTGAATCAGATGAAATACTTGTGTCTGGTATGGATGGATTTTAAAATCTGGATAAAACAAATACAATATGTTAAGGGCAATAAATAAGTTGAATTGTATGATTTTTTCAGATTTTATCTCCGTTGAGTTAGAACGTGGAGTTCCTAGACTTCTTATAGATTTTGGTTCTGGAACATTAGAACTTAAAGTTCAAACAAAGAAAGGTCTTGATGATGGAGAATGGCACAGAATAGATATATTCTGGAATACTGAAGTAAAATTTTTTATGAATATAAATTAATAGCGATAGAAATTTTTTCGTGCTATTGTTAATTTTTCGTTCCTAAAATCTAATTTTATCTTTCTATTTTACCAGAGCCTTATATTTGATGTTATTTTTGATGCACATAAATAATAAATTGAAATTTGTTTTTAAGTACTCATTTATTTTTATGAATAAAAGTCTACTAACATCATACTATTGTCCATTGTAGAATTAATCCAAGTAAATAGTAATTAACTTTCGTAACTATGTACACGTTATGAAGTATTTGAGGAAGGAAACGACGAAGAGATCCCCATCAGCACAGTCTTGTTACCAACATCTCGGACAACAATACCTTTCTGCCTTACCTGGAAAAAACGAATAACGTTTAGTTTATCTGGGCAACATAAGTACTATTGTTAAACAAAACCTAACACTTACTACGGGAGATAGTGTTTTGTCGATAATGATACAGAAAAAAGAGTCATACTCTGTACCAGGTTCAGGAAATATCATCATTAATTTTCTCTTACATTCATTATGTTCCATAACTTGAGCTTTGCAAGATTTTTGTACGTAGCATCCGTCCTCAAGCTTACTGCTGATAACAATGACACTTGTATTTTCATGGACGTTATATGAGTAATCAAGATCTATGTATTCACGGACATTTACTTTTTCATTTAATCTCACGACAGCTATGCTATTCAAGCGGTTACTACAAAGAATAATGACATTAAGTTACCCAAACATTATAATTTGCATTTCACTCTAAATAAAATTCTTACGATGAGTCCAAGCTGCTGCGAACAAACGCATTTTCGACGTTAACTATTTGCTTACCACCGTTAAAGAACAAACGAAAACCAGCATCCTTATTATTATAATATAATGCAGACATTTGCAACCAACAAAAACAATGAGCATTTGCCAACACCAAATTGTCTTTAAGTAGTGCACCATGACAAACTTCCAAGTAACCAACACCACTACTTGGCAAGGCTTTTATAAGAACGTGGTAAGAAAACTTGTCACTCTCCAGAGTAAATCCTGGTTGAGCCGAGGTAACTAAACGAAGATATTTTGATCTTATTAGTATTACAGTATACATAGCAGTATACATAGCACACCTAAGATAATATTGTAATTTCATTTTCCGCATTTGGCAACGCATGTCACCAGGGCAAGCACCAGGCCACTACTTAACCAACCAGTTCAATAACCAACACACTACTTGTTCTTGCCCTAGTTGGATGTGTACCATGAGTAAAATTTATTATTCTCACTGAGTGCACAATAAACGTCCAGAAAAACTTCCAAAAAAGGCTTAATAGCTTTTTGGACGTGGCAATAATATTTCATGAAAAAATTATCGTGATAGTGAGCCGTTTCTCGTATAATAAAGGAATCAACATTTATTTTTCGATAATTTTTACTTATATTTAACAGTACTTTATTTTTTTCTAATTTGAAAAATACCTATACGTTTGTGACGTATTACGGGTGGTAAATTTCTTGCGATATATTATATTTTACTGAATTAACAAAAAAGGAAACTTATAACAAACACTCTAACACCAAGTAGCCGACCACAGCCGTTACTAACTAATAATCATCTCAATAATCACTAAATTTTTCCAATAAAACATACCGGCCATAAAAGGTGAGTTATCGTTTAATGATTGTATACTTAACAAATTTTTAAAAACGTATAAAGATGCACTTACTTCGTATCTGGTAATCTATGTTTGTTCTATTATTAATTACACTTTTAATCTAATCGACGTCATGGGATGCTAACCGTGTGTTAAACATTTTGTTCTTAGTGGAAAGTCCAAACAGCGCAACCTGGCCACTATTACTTTGAATAAAAATGACACCATGTTGAACCTTCAAATCAAAGGAGAGTATGAATATATTATCCCGAGCAAATGTAGCAAAGCAGGCTTGGAGTTCCCATCGTAGAAGTATAAACAGTGGGATGCTGCAATGACGAATCAGTTAGCAATAAGAGCACCTTTACACGAAAATTCGTAGATGCTGCTCGTAGGTACATAGACACAAACATGAAAAAGATACTGCCCTTACGAAGCTGGTTCTGGAGCTCTGGCAACTTTTATATTATATAGTACTAGCAGCCCCCCCTCTCGGCTTCGCCCGAGACTTACTAAATGGAACACCGTAGTGTGTTGACATGCAATGTGAAACGTTTTTAGTTAGAAATTTTACATTTATTCCTGACACTTCTCAGAACAAAAATCTCCTTACTAAAAACTTATTTGTTCGCAATCCATACAGTTTATTTGGTCAAATAATAAGCTGTAAAAATTGAAAAAAAATATAATTATGCTGAAAATTATCGTACGTTCCTTATGTCATAAAATAATCGTTGGACATAAGGAGCGGTTGATTATCCGTTTCTCCCGTGTAATTTTCGAAAAGGTCTATTTTTTAAGCTGTTAAGATTTTAAACTCCCAAAAATATATATTAAAAAAAATTTTTTTTTCTCTTATCTCACAACTTTATTACCAGAGCAACA